AACCCCCCCCCCCGCCACCCCCACCACGTACCGCCTTCCCCACCCGCAGCACTGTCCGCCGGGCTTTCCCCCCACCCGCACCGTCCGAGACGGATTTGGCGAAAAAAAACGCGCAGGAATTTTTTTATCGATTCCACCGGGAAGCTTATTTTTCACTTTTTTTTATTTTATTTTTTTACCCCTCCGTTACACCCCTAGCCCTCCGGCCCGGCGGCGTCCGGGTTTTTTTTTTTTTTTTTTGCCTTACCTCTACTCCGCGCGTTCCCGACCTGCTCTCCACATCCTCCGCCGCATCGTGTCCAGACACCGCGATTTTTTTTCACGCAGGACATTCGGTGGCGGCGGCGGAGGTTCGCGGCGGAGCGAGGCCGGGATAAAAAGCCCGCGAGCAGAGCGCGCCCCGGCGGCTACTCGGCCAATCACCTATCAAAACAAGACCGGCTTTTCGCTCGGCAGTTTATTTTTATTTTATCTTTTTTACGCGTTTTTTTTTTTTTTTAGTATTTTGACGATCACATTTTTCGTCCGTTTGCTTCCGTTCGCTGTACGCGCTTAAGCGCAGTCGGGCATCATTATTATTTTTCCCAGTCTTTGCACTTTGCATTTTACGATAATACGACGTCCGTACGCGCGTTCGATCGCTGGTCGTTTATTCCGACGATAATAATATTTTTTCCGCCGATATTATCATGTCGTGTCACGTGCGCGGATACAGGGTGTTTCGAAACGCAGTATCATTAACATGTGTTATAAATAATATTTTATCGGTGATGACGGTTCGTTGAGAAAATAGATATATATTTTTAATCACTCGTGTACCGCAGTGTTTTTTTCGAACCGGTAAACGCCGCGATATTACCTGCGACATTATAGTGCATTACTGAAACTACGGACAATTCGACGGACAATCATTTCGTGAGTATACATTTATAGAACGTCCTGAATAGCGCGAAAATTTGTTTATAAAATGCCATAATATCCGTCAAAACTGCCTATGAAATATTACGTTACACGGCATTTTAATAATCATGCCTGTTATAGGTGTATCCTAAATCAAACCTATTCGTGTTTTTAAATAGGCAATAGCGGATTTTTTTTTTAAATTCCCCCTCCTCCCCCGTTTCGTCGGCGTTACCATTATTTTACAACACTTGTCGTTTCATTGGCCTGAGCGTTTGTATGCAATTTTAAGTATCTTAAAAAAAAAAACCACTGCAAACGACATAGTTTTGCATAGCCGTTTTTGGAAAAATTTACCAAAAAATCGCACGTGCACTACAACAATATACATCGTATTTTTTTTCTTTTTCCATAATTCACCATTCGCACTGACAACATTATTTGTTCAGTATCTATGCATGGGCGAATAAACGTTTCATGTTATTCCGTTCGGTTTACATTTGAAATTCAAATAAATAATATATTCACGATCGAGTTGAAAATAAAAAAAAAAAAAATAATAAATAAAAAGTTATATTACATAATGTTCATACCAAGGTAGATTTAAATAAATAACCTTGGTCCGATAGATATTATAATAATAATTATTAACACCGTGCATTCTTAACAAATACGACAATAACATTAAATAATGCATCATTTTTTTTCTTCCTATTCTAATGCACTGTTAATTTTTAATTTAAATATTTTTCGACAACTCACGGTATTTTTTTTCTTTTTTGTATTTTTGTTTGGTCTAAAAAAAAAAAATCATACCGATTTTAATATTCGGAATATAGGTAACTGCCTAATTCAATATCGATCTGAGAAAAAAAAATAAACCGAAACTATAATTAAAATATTATGATAAGTCATTGTTTTGTTTTTAAAATTTTACAACGTACCTATTTATTCTTTCGATGAAAAAAAAAAAAAAAATTAGAAAAATTATTAATAATTAACAGTTATATTATGAAAATATATGCAGTAGGCATTGCGTATATTATATATTGTTGAATGACAACCAAAATAATTATAATTGCATGTTAACGTATCAATACCGCGCGACCATTAGTTTTAATTTTCTTATTCGATGACTCCGCCAAAAATAAATTTTTCAAATAACGCTCGTGTCAATATTTTAGTTTCTTCTGAGTACAACGAGTGCCTGATATTAGTTTTACTCTGATGGTTTGTTGAAAAGGCTTTATCGGTTAGTGAAAATTCTCCGACTTTTTCACGTCATAACTTAAAAGATGCAAATTTTTCGTTTGGTGGTATTTTATTTAAAACATTTTTCGAAATTGTCGACAGTTTTTCTAAAGAATTGCTTTTCGTGTGATTTTTCGTTATAATCGCTCTTTTGATTTGGCAAATGTTACCTCAAAAGATACGATATTTCTGCCCGGTGACGCTTTGAATGTTATGCACGAGAACTACTAGCAGTAGTTTTATGTTCTACCCTGAGATACTCTTTTTCTTTTTCTTTTTTTTGGTTTTAGTTGATTTCTGCGTGTTACCTTGATAATAAAGGAATACACGCTACTCCGCTCAGAATCGTTTTCCATTAATTATGTTTTTACACAACGATATGATATTAAATCATTTTGTTTTAATGTAGCCCGACGAAATTTCAATATCAACATATCCGAGTTTAAAATAGTTTTGACAATAAATTGGTACGATAGTCTACATCGCTGAGGATCTTTGAGATATAAATTTAAAAATTAAATATATGATAATATCATTGTTTCTTATAAACTCGGGACGGTATTGGAAAATGTCAACAGAAATTGACATAATCGACGCTTATACGTAATATTGTAATAGTCATCAATAGAGCGAATGACAAATGACAAATAGATTCAAACAACTACGTAATTGTTTACAGTTAACCGAAATGTATAGTATTGTTTTTCGAGAACAGTAATTTATGCATTTAAAAAATATTCATACAAACAAATATTTTAAGTTTTGTAAACACACGATATGTGACGGTTATTTGTTTGTTTGTGTTTTTTTTTTTTTTTTTAATTTTTTTCAAACAACTTGAAAGTACATTGTTTCGATATTGTCTTCGGTTTATCACCGCGATTGGGTGTTATTTTGCGGATACGCGAAGGGTTGTGATCCGATTTTATACTGTTTGGTAGCCACGGTTAGCCATCGATGATAGATTGCAGATTTTATGCATGATAATATATTTTCGACAAATCGTGATTATTTATCATGATTCTGGCTGGATTCGTAAATCTATGAAAAGCTAACGTTTGGTTTTGTTTTTTTTTTTCATTTAAAATATATATATATATATATACACATATTACATTATTGAACATCTATGTTGTAATACGTTAAACCGTTTTCAGTCGTTTAAACCGAAGTTCGCGTATCATTCGATTTTTAAAACACACCTGATCACGATAGGTTACTATAAAACCACGACTAGCCGGTTTCGGTATTATTTTAAATACGAGTTCACAATATACATGTACAACATGTATTATGCATGATATGTGCATAGTGTCACGTTAAATTCTAAGACATTATAGGTTATCATCGTTACATAATACGCAGTACTTAAAACGAAAATCAATAATCGAGTAACGATAAATCGAAGTATTATGTACCGACGAGTGCAATTATTCCGCAGTTAGGATGTTTATAGCGTGTCCGATACGAGCGCAATAAAATAGTGTACGCCGTACGACCATACTATCTGCTATATATACAGTTTGACGTCTAACCGAACATATGTTACTGGTAGGCGTAATAAAACCCGACCGAATCGTCTTCGGGCTGTCCTTACGGATAGTTTAACGGTAAGTCCTGACCGTCTGCACACCCGATATTTGTAACGCCGGTCGAATTACGTTAAACGACCTTTACCGGAGTTCCCTGTTTCACGTGTACACGCAACCATGTATACTTAAAAAATCCGCGTGCACGTGTAATTACACGAATTTTTACGTCCGCGCGTGTGTGTATTCACGTTTACACGTATGTTCACGTACACTGTGTTTTCGTATTTGAGGTTATTTGTCACGTATTCTCACGTATTCGCGAACACTAAAACACGGGAACACGGATAATAAACTCGCGTGCATTAAGTACATGAAATTATTGAAAATAAAAAAAAACCCCCGGGATATCATTTTTACTACGTTTATACCGGTTTGTACAGACAATTTTATCGTTTGCGCCGAAAACATGAAAAAGTTATAGCTGTTTTAAAGTGGAGGTGCTGGGGACACGCTAACGTCTATTCGATATTGAAAAAAAAAAAAAAAAAATTATACCATTCGAGAATGTTCTACGTTTGTACCGGATTTTAAACCAAATTTCATCGTTTTTACCAAACGTACAATGTATTTACGGATGTCTTGAGTTTCATAAATAATGAGAGCTGCTATAAGTAGCTATGCGTTAAAGCGGATTGCCCTCTTTACTGAGTAGTGAGTTGTCTGGTGGCATTGAAGTACTGTACTAAATACCTATAACTATACTACACTCACTCGGCTCAGGGGCGGCTCCAGAAATATGTGTAAGGGGGTTGTCAAGTCAAATTTTTCAGAAAACTGTAAAAAAGCATATTTTATAAGTTTATTTATACTCCGAAGAGTATATAGATTGTACCCATATAGATACCTCTAAAGAAAATACAGAATTTGGGGGGGGGGCGTGGGCCCTAGGCCCCCTCGGGGCTACACATGACACGGCGGCTACTTTTTGCGCATGTAAAAAGTAGCGGTGGTACGATAAAAACAAAAACAAAATATATCTGGAACCCCCCCCCCTAAATACCAATATTATTTCAATGAAATATTGTTCAAAAAAGAGGCTTCTATCAATAGAGATACCTTTTAAATACATACGATTTTTCAGGACCCCTCTCAGAAAAATGTTATAAATACATTGAACAAAATAGTAATATTTAAAATGATAATTATTATGACAGTAATACTGTATGTGGAATCGATTACAAAGATATTTATATTTTTTTTTAAAGATAGTTACAACTATGGTGCAATCGTAATACAATTAAGTTATTATGGAAGTCATTTTGAAACAAACATTTTTTTTTTTTTTTTGAATTTGTAATAACCATATATATGGGCATATGGCCATCTCACATCAGCTCTGGATAAGACACATAAAACACGTACGGGTAATGTAAAAATAAAAAATTTACGAACCTAAGTTCTATAGGTGTCTATGCAGTTGTAGTTTATTTTTTTGTCATAAATAACTCAAATAATCAATACCAATCGTCCATAATAAACACACTCCAACCAAGGAATAATTACACACGTTTGTTACTAATGTATGAAATACAAACGCAAATAGGGCACTATGTGGTTATTTAAACGGTAAAAAATCGTATTCGCATTACTCGCTGAGAATTGTAATTTATAACTCGTCGACTATAATTGGTGCTTGAAGTATATTAGCCAAACGGTATAAAATCGAGATGGATAGACGTAGGTGGATAGGTGTACTCTTTCAGCGATTTTCGTCTGGAAAATACTTTTTAAAACGAATAAAAAAATAAGGACGGACATACTTCACACGTGGGTGCAGCCACTGATTTAGGTGGCAAGTTAGGAAGGTTAGATACAGACGGGAATTTAATGTACATTTGTAAGCAACGATAAACCATTGTTAAGGAAAAAACGATTCTGAGCGGAGTTCAGTTGATAGTGTTGCTTTGTCAACAACACAATGTACGGTATATATTATATCGCGGTGAAATGATTACAACAATGCGCGTTTCCATGACAACAATGATTATTTAAAAAATATTAAAATAATAAAAACTTAATAATAACAAAAAATAAATAAAAACGGTTGCTAATGACAACCTTATTTTTTAATCTTTCAACCTAACATAAAGACCGAGGTTTTTCTCATTATCTCGAATATTAATGAGAATTTCAAAAAAATGACTTCTCTAAAGAACCGCCCAGAGAAAATGTTCTGTCAGGTAAAAGGTGCTATACTTGATAATCGGAATATGCTTTCTGGTAGAAAAAGTGTTCACATAAAAAAAAAACAAAATAAAATAAAATATACATCATTGTTAAACCAATACGTTCCATTCACAATTTAAAATAATCATCGACATAACAGAATAGTCGTTAATAACGTGGCTACTCCAATCTACTCTGGCTTTACTGTATACTCTATGTTACTCTTGTGTTTTCGAACGAGTGTCCCGTATTCTTGGTTTTTAGTATTTGCAGGTGTGGTAACCTGTTCAGTAAAGAGGGTAATCCGCTTTAACGCACAGGTATTGGCTGTCGTTGCTTACGAATCTTAAGAATCATGGAGGGGGGGGGCGTTAAATCCGCCCCCGGTCGGGTCGAAATCGACAAAATATATGCCAAATATCGAACAGCTCGAACTTTTACAGTGTATGGGTCGCGTACATGGTATCGTAGATATTTTGGGTCGCCGCATTTCTCCACTCCCCCTCCTTAGGTCCGATAGTTTTCCCACAGCTGAGCACATCGCCTCGCACGATTCATCACTCGAATATGGACTTATTGGTAGTATGCCCGTGTACAATTTTAATACACTATATCGTTCGCGTTTACTGCAACAATTATTCGGGAAAATGCATTTTTGTATTCATTGCCGATTTCCCGCAGCAACATAAACTGTGTACGAGCGCGCACACTCGCGCAATATTATATTGCATACTTGCGTACGCATAACAAAATATAATACACAAACAATAACCCGTATTATGATATTATTGTCGTGTACACTGTTGTTGTGTGTGCTCGGTACGACCGCTGTGCAATAAAAGCAAACAGAAAGGACACCGAACTGGCGCCTTTCGGGTGCATCCGAGACGACGCCACGACGGTCGTCTTCTTGGACTGCATCGCGCGAAAGGCGGTCGTTAAAACACGCCCTTGCGACCGCGAAACGCGAGCGACCCAGATATCGTGTATAGCCGGCATGTGCACCACAGACGATATAGCAATTTTATGAACTTTAAATAATAATGATAATAATAATAAAAAAGATACGATTTTATTATAACAGTTCGTGTACGGAGTGATTTTTAACCGACTTCGGAAAAGGAAGTGAGGTTATATTGTAATATTATGCTGGAAATTCCACGCGCATTGTATTCAACTGAAACTTCATCTGTTATAACGTTACGTGGCGTTTTTAACACAGGTCGCCGTTCGAAAATCAAAAGCGCGTAAGTGTTTCATCCCGAAATATAAGGACGTAAAAAAATACGAGCGGTAACGAGCGGCAATTTAGATCCGCGTGTTTTGAATATTATAAAAAAAACGGATTCCCCAAGTAAAAAACGAATACTTCTCCGAGATAATGACGGTGCCTTAAATTATATAGATCACCTTGTAGTACGCCGATCCGAACAATCACAATATAACATACGCGTCAGTCTGCTATTTAGTTATTATAATACATACCGGTTATCACTGTGTTTCAACTTTCAATTGTTAATTTTCCGCAGACTTTTATGGGTTTTGAAGGAAGCCGTAAAAGGAATACGTTTAAATTTTTAGAGGCTTACAGGTTTTGTTTGAAGTCGGTGGGAAGTTTTTTTTTTTTAGTTCATTCTGAATCCGGAGATTATCCACGAAGATTTTGATTAAATTTGATTTTTGGTCGTTTTATTCAGGCTCTGTATTATAGAACCGTCTGACGATCTTTATTTAAAACATTTTCTACTATTTTATCATTATTCCGTACACCGTGAACACGCATACGAGTAGTATTATCGATGTCCAAAACCCTCTTTTCAAGCCGGATTCGAAAAGCGTTTAAAATTTAGACCGGCGGAATAGGAGACGATTAGCAAAAAACAGATACCTATGAAATGTATTATTTTTCCCCGCTCTTCCGGCCTGAATGTCTTTAACTCGTACGAATTTATAACTCATAGTATCCGACATAGGCATACTAATCTAACAGCCATGTCCAGACAAATAATATATTTCCAAGAATGTGTTGAGAACCGCTGAAAAAACCATAAGTCCATAAATACGGTGTACGAAATAAGAGTATAACGTTTTTAATAAAAGGTAAGTATACGATCGTACAACGATTCTATAATATTATAACATAGGCCAACGATAAAAAAAAAAAAAAAATCTCAACATATATTTTATTCGAAATCCTCGTTGTTTACGGTAAAAAAAAAAAAATCACCCTGTGTATAGATTTTGACCGGAGCACTTTTTAAGAACTGCACGGAGATTTTCACTATATATAATCCGCTTAACTCTAATATACTACTATAGATAATACTTACTTTTGTAACGTGATTATCGAATAAAGAGCATATATTGACTGCAGTACACGTGGAATAGGACGTTCTTTAGTTGTTTAATATTTTACACAATATACTATCGGCATTATGCTCTTTAGAGGGCACGAACGTAATATAATGGATAATTTTTTTTTTCTGTTCAAACCTTTTTTTTTTTTTTTTTGATTACAGAGTTGAATCCTGCCGTTTATAATGTAAAATAATATATAATGATATTGTGTTCGTGTATACCGAATATTAATAGCATTATCTTTTATTGTAAATAACGGTGTTTCAATCTCCTATTCTAATATACCGCTTAAAGATTATAATTTTTGTTTTTAAAGCTTTAGGCTGATCATAACACCATAAAGCCGCCGAGAAAAATGGCGCAACTAAAAAGTGCGGCAATTGAAAAACCGTGACGCTGTTCTTGTCGTGACGAAAACCAAATGGTTAGTTTGAAAACGTAAAACTGCAGGCACAACCGCTTTTTAGCGGATAATTCGTGAATTAAAAATTGGACGTTTTTGCCGTATTGTGGGGCACACAATTATTCGTTTGGCACTGAAAAATAACTACAAAATTGGTATTTACATCATATAGTTTGGGTACATACAATATTACTGCAAACATAACAGATATCATGACTGAGAAATTAATGGGGAAAGCATGTTTATGATGGTGGCGAATCGAGATCGGTGACTTGGGTCGTAAAAAACTAAACCGGTTAGTCACAAATCTGAATAGATCTAATCTGATGAATTCACGAAAACCATACCGGTTTACGTTTTTTAGGGAAATTCAAGCCAGTTTGCGCTGGCGAATTTCTTGTGTGTCGTGACGTAAAAGGTTTTTTTTTATTGGCAGCCGTCGATGTTCATCATGGGTCAGTTTTCGTTGTATAATTTTGCAATTGTATGCATACATTATAATGATTTTCAATTAATCAGAAGTCAAGCACGGTAAATAGTAATGCAAGCGAAACAGCCTTCGGGTATGCGTTCATTTTTAACGAAGCTTTACAATCGGCTCTCCGTCTCTCTAAAGTCCCTACGGGGGACGCAGGTGTATGAATGGACACCACCCCGGCGTCCAAATGTTAGGGCAAAAAGTATGCTTATTTGCTCAGTTACTAAAATCGCAGCGCGTTACAGTTGAACAAATTAATGTACCAAACATAATATCGTCGATATCGATAAATGTTTTTATCGTTTTCGGAAAAGTGTAACGATATCGAAAACAACCGATTGTTATTGCGTGTTTGAACGTGACATCGAAAAACGTCCATTGGTTTCAATAGCTTTACGTGCAGTGATTGTTATTGTTTCAATACAAATACCAACATTCCCGATTCACGAATTATAATTCAATTTTAAAATCTCGAGTGTAATTAAATTAAAAACGCTACGAAAAAAAATCCAATGAGAGTTATAGAATTTTGATCAATCAGTCGACACGTATGATTTTAGATTCTGAGTGTAGCGAAAAATGTATTGGTTTTACCAAGATGTTTATTAAAAACCAGGATAAAAAGTAAGAAAAACGGGAAATTCACGAAAATAATGCTTTTATTATTCTTAAATATTGTTATTTGTCGTAATTCAGTTAAAAATATTTTTATAGACATGACATTTGGGCAGAAAATTAAAATTTGCCTTTTTCCCAATAAATGGGAAAAATCGTGAAAATCGGAAAAATGTACAAAATACATTAGTCGAAATCAAAATAATATATCATTTATTTGTGTTTAATTATAACCAGTTCTTTTGTAAATTTGCCAAAGAATCGCGTAAACGATACGTAATATAGGAAAGTCACGATCGGGCTGTATTTCAAATTAATACGATACCATTGTATTTTGTATCCACAGACAATAACTATTGTAGTGTATTTAGTTTTTACACACAATTTTTACGCGATTTGGTTTGCATGTTGTACGATTTGTGTGTCCGAAATACTTTCCACCGATAATTAATGTGGCGTGTACGACTGAGTTATGATGGTAGGATATGTTATCGTACTTTCTACGGAAATCGCGAATAAACAACATTCGTGAACCGATTTGGTATATAATGGATTTGGTTACCCTCCAATCAGTCTAATCAATTATACCGTTTACTACTGTATATATTGCCGTGTTCCTCGGCGACGGTTGAGAGAATGTTTTCTTTGGCGGGATTCATTCAATTTCCGATTAGGTCATAACAATATGCGCTCTTGTAATTTTGAAACCTTATAGTTTTTCACAAAGAAACCGCGCTGTATAATTTTAATATTTGAATTTATTAATGCGCGTGCATTCGTTGTCACCGTCTAACAAACGCTCGACACAACAGATTTGCGCTCAAAAGAACCAACTGTGTGCTGCATACGAGTTTTAATATTAGAGTGACAAAAAATAACATAATCGTACAATTGTAGAGCTGCTTGTTTGTGAAATGCCATATACAAAAAAAATTCCGAAAAAAATTAATACTTTCCGAGATAACGAGTGTTTCATATACGGTAGATTGATCACTCTGTATAATATGCACGGTGCTGTTCTGGCATTTCGAATATATAAAAAGTAGTTCACCGTTTTCGTAATATTATTATGCCGCCGCATGGCTTTTGTTTTCTTTCCGAGTCCGTGGTCGTCGTCTCTGGGAAATACTCTACTCGCGGGGCAATACCGTTCAGGGAACGAAAACGAAAACAATTTCCACCGTCACGATCGAGACGAGTGTTTTTCTTTACTCCGCAGTTTTCCCAATATCATGTGTGTGTGTGTGTGTGTGTGTGTGTGTGTGTGACGTGAGTGTTTCGCACTGGCTGCTGCGATATGACGAAGAATGAAAATGAAAAAACAATATTTTTTCGAACACAAAATAAAATAATATCCTGGAAATAAAGAAAAGAAAAAAATAATAATAAAAATAATAAAGAAAACATGGAACGAAGTTTGCTTTTTATACCAGACGAAAGAAAACACCACCAACCGCGTGTTGCAATTTGTATACGACAAACAAAACATATAGGAACGAATATTTCTGTATACTTAGAAATAAAGTTTTTTTTTAGATTCTGAGCGCACCGAATAACCAATGTTTCACAGTAACGCGCGCTTTTTTTACCCCGCTGGTAAACATTTTTTCCATCAACATTCTTGTTATAATTGAAAAAACGGTTAAAAAACCTTTTTTTGTAGAATTTTGGATCTACTATAGGTGCATAGAGGAGGTTATTTTTAATTTTCCATTAAGTTTTTGTAATAGTTGGGAAAACGGGAAAGTTGACGAAAATATCATACACAGCATACCAAAACCTTAACCTTTGATAGACGTGGTAACATTCTGGCGACTTTTAAATTACAAATTGATTGATATTTCGATATGCGGTTGTTTTTTTTTTTTTTTTTTTTTGTAGACTAAATTGTTTGACCGAATACTTCAAAATTTAACACGAGATTCATTATAAGTTGCAATTTGCGGCGAAAAAAAAAATCGAGTAACGAGTAATGTATATCATACACGAGTATGATACATAGGCGTATTTTGAATTCAAATTTTTACGAAAACCGTACAAATCGCGGCACTTCAAAACACGGGTAACCGAACTCCGTGCAGAATCCGTATTTCTTCTGCAACGGTTTATCGTTACGAGTACAACTGCGTATTGTGTATCTTACACTCCCGAATAATCGATCGTGTTACATCCATCATTAGAATCGGATTTTTTTATTTTTTAGTTGTATTTATTATACATAGTACTCAATTTCTCTATGACTTTGTGATTAGATATTTAAAAATACCAGCTTTGTGTGACGAAAAATATCTAAAGAAAATTCTATGCCTACTTGATAGTTATACATTTGTGTAAACAGTTTTTGAGTAAATATTGCGATTCGCAAGTGGCAAACTATTTAATCAAATATATTTGAATTTCTTTCAATTAAGATTAATAACTATAATTAATTTGAATTCGGTGTTTAGTCTACATGATTTTTTACCGTGATGTTATTTTTTACGTCATATTACCGAACAGCCAAAGTTCATTATTTCGAAATAATCGAGTCCAAAAAGTTGTCTACCGTGTTTTTAATACGGCATTGAGCGCACTATACAAACACTTTTTGCACGGTTAAAAGCAGTTGAACACAGCGTTAAATAAGATTATTAAAAATAAAGAAAAACGTAAAGTAAAAATAATAATAATAATAATAATAATAATAGTAAAAAGGATTCTGCTTTTTTTTTTTTCATTGTTTTACTGTTGTTTTTTCGTAAGTGGGATATAATGGTTAATACATTTTTCCTTTGTACATCATGTTTGAAAACTAAAAACAAAAGAAATAAATACATTTCCTACAATATTATGCATTTTCTTGACGTATTTTTTAATTTTTTTTTTTCTTATCAAATATGTTGTAATATTATTATTTTTCGAATTCTTTTTATAAAAATAACGTTCAAATTATCTTTCATTATTTATAGACGATTTTTTTCGTATACATATTATAATAATATTATAATTACAAATTAAAGTACCTAACCATAGTTCAAAACATGTCTGCATACACGTGGCTTATTATCGTTTTCAATTATTTTTTAAGACCTCGGGCTCATTAATTCGTAGTTTCCCCCTGATATTGGCATACGGCCAAATGTAATTGATTTGTTTAGATTTTTATTTTTTTACCGTTTTTTTTTGCAATAACAATCTCTGCTGCAGCAAGGGTATTCTTTTGTATGGCATTTTTTTCCAATGTCTATAATAATAGGATATTAAGTGGTAATTGATAAATAATTGTTGACTCATCGTAATCATTTTGTACATTAGTCAATTGTACCTGTGTGTCGAGGTTTCAGAAGGATAAACCATAAAGTAGGTATACAGGTCGGGCAACTCACGGCCACGTAGATGGGACAACTGTCCTTATCAGTAGCTCCCTTATTTAGGCGAAAACGTTTAAAACGGGAAGAAAATAAATGTCGTCAATATAATAATATGTTGTTCGGCTTTTCAATGTTTATATTCGCGTGCAACCAATTGAAAAACTCGTTAAATTTTATCCGATGTTCAAATAATAGTATGCACTTAGAATACGATGACGGGAAAAACTGAAAGTAAACAATAATTCTTAAAACAGCCGTTAACGCTTTAAGTTTACACAGTCGATTCATTTTCCCGATTATTTATCATTAACCGAAAAATATACACCGCGGCCGTACCAATGACTACGTCTCGGATCTCGAGAGAACAATTTCACAAAAATAAACATTTTCTTGAAAAAAAAAAAAAAAAAAACCGAGTCTATCTACGAAACACGACGAGCCAAGTAAAGAGTAACGATAATAAAATATATTATGACGACATTAATTTATGTTGATTTTGACGATACGGTACAGAACCCCCACCACTACGGATTAACCTTATTGGCACTTGGTAAAGAAGTAGACATCACGATGCTGCGAAAGTCCTTGATGATGCGGCACAAAAGTCAAGAAAAAACCCGATATGTAAATATATATCTATAACACATTATACGTCAATTAAAAATATCGATTCGTAATATTACGTACATTGAAATTTAATGTTTATTTAATTGTTATTGCACGCAAACGATAATTTTTATATGTGCCCCTACTTGACGAAAATTCACGAGAACGCCGCTAGTGTGTGCGCATACAAACGATAGCACAACACGAAATCGAATTCAAACAAAAGCGCAACACGCTTGGCCCTTTGTTTCTGTAATTTGGTCGGCGTTCAATTTTTCGCACCAAATTAAAACTGAGAATATAAATCTCCGGTCATACTCGAACGAGTCATTATCACTATCACATATCATTATGAGTAGACAGCGGATCGATAACTGCTAAAAACCGCGTAAAAACCTCTTGGGATCCGAGAGTCCACGCGCTGCCACTGGATTATCTGCGCGACGGTTTTTTTTTTTTTATCTTAGTACCTCTAATCAATTTCCTGGCCTTTCAATTGGTTAGATTTTGATAACCGAAAGGACATGGATGTCGTAGGATCAGTGATGTGCAACAAAACCGATTAGGAATGAGGTAGTCCGAAACTGCAGGTAATACGGACAAAACGAAAACACAAAAATACGAAAAATACAACGTGATTATCGTTAAGATAATATTAGATTCGTACTTTTTTTTTTACAGATATTATTGTTTCACGAACGATTTGGTTCGATTCGTTTCATTTGAAATTTGATTTATTCGGGGGTTTAAAAAAACAAAAATCATTATTATTGTTAAAGCGGAGGTATAATTTTTTTTTTAATATAAACTTTTTTATCCGTTAAACAAATTATTTAATTTAAAGCGACGGCAGTGCGACGTTGTTTTCAAAGAAACGTATAATTATTTTATAATATTTTCGTTATTATTTCATACTTAGTTAATGGAAATAGGTACCGAACCCTTTAGAGAGAGAGAGAGAGGAGTGAGAGGGCGAGAGGGAGAGAAAAAAAGTGAAATGACGTTGTGTTTATGTTTTGTTTTTTTTTACAACTTCCTGCCACGACCCTGCTTTTCATGCCTTCTTTTTTTTTTGTTTTGTTCAAATGAATTCTATGACGAGGATATACCCACGCGACACCTTTGCGTGTGATTAGGGCGGAATAAATTGGCAACACCTCGGGTCTCCTAAATTAGCATACCCCGCCTTCAATGTTTGTTTGTGTTATCGGAAACTCCCCCTCCCCCCGTTCTTCACAGAATTTTTATACAAATAAGCCGTTTATATTTATGATTAGGCGTATTTTTTTTCCTCGTTTGTAATTTGAAATCATTTATTTTATTATTATGATAATCTTGAGGAAAAAAAGGGGGTAAAGACGATGAGAGACGAAAAAAAAAACAACTGTCTGAAAGTCTTTCGGGAGAGACGCTCTTAATGCATTTAGGGAAATGAAATAAAATCGAGACGAGGGGATCTGTCCATAAGCGACGGCGTCGGAGGCTGTGGAAGAACGGGGCAGGGGGGAGGAAGAGGAACTGAAGTTTTTCTTACACGCCCTCAGAAAAACAAAAAAAAGATGAAATAACAAGGCGGATGTGTTAGTTCCAAAGGGTGAATAATATACGAGTCAAACGATATTAAAATTTAAAGCTCTTCACTCTTTTTTTTTTCCACTTTTTTTTTTTCTTTGTACCATCACGAACCTAAAAAATACACGATCGTACTTATAAAATGTGAACTCTCGGTTTTTTCATTATTATTATTATTATATTAACCTGCACTCAAGTTTTGTGAACAATATATTATTGCAATTAATTTGCGCCCCATTGCTCGTAAACGCCGTCGCTGCGAAGTGCTGTCGCGAGGACACTTGGCCGACATTTAGAACGTGATTTCCCCCCCCCCCCACCTCCCCCCACACCAACGGTACTCTTACGAAAACACCTGTGGTACAATCGCCTGTTTTCGTTTCCGTCGGTAATTATCGCTGTACGGATTGTATACAACGGCACAAGAAAATTTTTTTTAAAAAAAAAACGTACAAATCGGTCGCTATTATTCTCATTTAGTCAATAATAATAATAATAATAATAATAATAATAATAATAATAATAATAATAATAATAATAATAATAATAATAATTATATTGGATACATACGGTATCCATATTATTATCGTATTGTTTTACAGTCCGTTGGATTGTCTTTGTTGTCGCCATGATATCGCCGAACAATTCAAACGCAATAACGTTCGGTTATTAGGAATTCGACTGCTATTATAACGTTGTTAGCTCCGTCGGTTGCCGTTTGAATTCGCACGGTGCCGCGCGTCCGGCATTTGCGCAGTTTTTTACCCGGCCATCTTTTCCGTTCCGCCGTGGATATTCGGCGTAAATCTCGCGTTCGGATTTTTATTACGCCAATAATTACGTAATACACACTGCGCGCTTTGCGGAACAACCGGAATCGGATCGCCGCCCGATATCGTGCCGCATAACGTTCGATGATTTCCGGAGCAAAACTCGCTGTGAATATCGGGGCGCGGGGAAAAAAAGCTAGTTCAAAAAAAAAAAAAAAAAAAAATGATAAAACATATAATATGGGGAAAAAAAAATAAATATAAAAAAACAATATATTTTTTTTTACGTTTTATAATACAACAAGTGATATCGTTGGTTAGCGCTGCATATTGTGCACGACACCATACAAATTATAATTGTGTTAGATATGTGAACTGTATACAATAATAACGTTAATAATCGTGTCGACAATTTTTTAAACGCCGTAGCATATACGCTTTAAATAAATACACTTTTTTATTTTTCATTTCATTACTTACATATTTTTTACACTGTACTAAAAATTATTATTAATATATGGCTGTATTAGCCATGATGTTATGTACTGCAATGCATAACGTATTATTTCATACGACACATTGATTTTTAAAAATAAATAATTATAAATTACAAATCCTAGTCGTTGAAATCAAAATTTCTTTTTTCCAATCATTCGTATTTTGAACCATAAATATTTCGATAATTTATTTTTTCCGCATGCTTTTTTTCACTACATTTTTTTTTCCTAAACTCGAAAATATTATACGATGAAATGTCTATCTCAGCCAGAAACACATGATACAGGGTCACAGGCGAGTTATTTAAAAACAATTTTTCTCACGAAATTCCACCGATAATAATATCGTTTGTTCATCTACAGAGTGATCGATCTAACGTATGACACTAATTATCTTGAATAATATTTACTTTTCTCGGCATCTGTTTTTTAGAAAAAGCGCGAGCATCAAGCAGCTCTACAATTTTTTTATTTCGGTGTTATTTTCCGTCACTCTTATTTTCGGGGGTAAAACCACTACCTGCTTTCAGTTATCAAAGGGACAGCTTACATTAAAACGCCGCGCACCGAGTCGCCACACTAATGATGCTCCATCGATCTCCCCCGACTCAAATATAAAAGTGGAATATCTCGTCAACGGATTGACGGAAATTAAAAATATCATAACCAAAATTTATTTCAACCAATACTCCGTCTGATTGTGGAATTTGTAATATAGGTTGCCGTTTGAAAATCGAAAGTAGGCGATTTAGTGGCTTTACCCCCGAAAAAAAGGGCGACGAAAAATATCACGGGCGAAAAAATGTTTAGAACCGCTTGTTTCTTGGGTTTTCTTTCTGAAACCATATTCCGAAAAAAAAAAAAAAGAAAAAAAAATTAATACTTTTCGAGATAACGAGCGTCTCGCGATAGATCGATCGCCCTGTATAATCGAAACGTTATAGGAACGGTAGAATCGAGGCGAGGTACGACGGAGTAGGACATTCGAGGACTAATATTGTTATTGCGATTCGCGCTCGTAAATTCCGAGAGTGAAATTCACCGCGTATAGCTCCGATAAGTCGAATTTAACCGAGTCACGTATAAAATTTATACGATACGAGACTGCGGCGACGTTTGGAACCGCGGCCCGGTCGGAATATCGTCGAGCGCCTGCCATAACGTAATATTATGCCGCGGAAATATTCCGTTTTCGGGTAAGTCCCAATATCGCGTCGGCGGCGCAGATGGGAATTTTTATTTGGAGGGGGGGAGAGTATGTATTCGGTAAGTCGTTTCCAAGATTGTCGGCGTGGCAGTACTCCGGGCACCGGAAAAAACGGCCGGGTTTCAATTCGAAAAAACATTTTATTTTTTTTTTTCATTTCGTCTACAAACCTACAGAGCGCAACGGCTGTTTTCCTCGACTTCTGCGACACGGTGTCGAGAATCTCTCCCGGTGTGCTTTTCGGGGAATCGGTAACATTATACGGTATATCCATTGAGTAGAGCCTGAAAAGTTAATGCGTGACGCATCGTGTTTATATTGACGAAATGCAACTGTTTATTTTGATTTCGGCCGTTGTATTTCTTTTGAGAAGTATGTTTTCTTTTAACACGCGAAAACGTTGATTCGGGCGGACACCGCGGCAAGGTGCATAGTATTTCAAGGAGTCGATAAATATTTGAAAACAATACTGCGCAGTCACGTAGTCTCGGGAAAGCTATCGCACGACGTTTATTGGTGAAGTTCAGTTTCGATCGCCAGATTTTTAACCCTGCAAC